GTGGCTGGCGCCTTAGCCGGTTGAGCTATAGGCGCCGAGCCAAGATCTTGCCTCTTACTAAAAATGTTTAATATGGTAATTTTGTATGAAATTTCTTGGATATTTTATTTTGAAACCTAAAAATACATAGTAGTCTGGGCCAGGGGCAGTGGCTCATGCCTATACTTTCTAGCACTTTGGAGGCTGCGGCAAGAGGATTACTTGAGGCCAGGAGTTTGAAATCAGCCTGAGCAATGTAGTAAGACCCTGTCTCTACAAAATTATTTATTTATTTCTTTATTGAGACAGAGTTTCACTTTGTCGCCCTCAGTAGAGTGCTGTGGCATCACAGTTCACAGCAACCTCCAGGTCTTAGGCTTAAGGCAATTCTCTTGCCTCAACCTCCTGAGTAGCTGGGACCACAGGCACCCGCCACAGCATCTGGCTATTTTTTTGTTGTAGTTTAGCCAGGGTTAGGTTTGAACTGGTATATGGGGCCAGTGTCCTACTCACCAAGCCACAGACGCCACCCTCTACAAAATAATTTAAATAAAAGTTAGCTGGCTGTGGTGGCATGTGCTTAGGCACCAGCTACTTAGGAGAGTGAGGTTAGAGGATGGCTTGAGTAGACGAGTTGGAGCCTGCAGTGAGCTATGACTTATCTGGTCACTGTATTTGAGCCTGGGTGACAGAATGATACCCTATGTCAGGAAAAAAAAAAAAAAAACAACAAAAAACTAGTATTTTGGAACATCAAATGGCATCTGTAAAAAGTGTGGTTACTTTGGCCGGGTGTGATGGCTCATGCCTATAATCCTAGCACTCTGGGAGGCCAAGGTGGATGGATTGCCTGTGTTCACAGGTTCAAGACCAGGCTGAGCAAGAGCCAGACCTGGTCTCTAAAAAATAGCTGAGCAGGCTCAGCACCTGTAGCTCAAGTGGCTAGAGCGCCAGCCATGTACACCAGAGCTGGTGGGGTTGAATCCAGCCCAGGCCCGCCAAACAATGACAACTATGACCAAAAAATAGCCAAGTATTGTGGTAGGCACCTGTAGTCCTGGCTACACGAGAGGCTGAGGCAGGAGAATTGCTTAAGCCCAAGAGTTTGAGGTTGCTGTGAGCTGTGATGCCATGACACTCTACCCAGGGAGACAGCTTGAGACTGTCTCAAAAAAAAAAAAGAAAAAGAAAAAAAAATAGCTGGGTGTTGTGGTGGTGCCTGTAGTACCTGCTACTTGGGAGGCTGAGGGAAGAGAATTGCTTGAGCCTAAGAATTGAAGCCTAAGTTGAAGGTTGCTGTGAGCTATGAAGCCATCACACTCTACTGAGGGTGACAAAGTGAGACTGTCTCTAAACAAAAAAGTGTGTTTACTTTGTAAAAACACACAGAGACTCTGGATTATTTTTATTTATTTATTTATTTATTTTGAGACGGAGCCTCAAGTTATCCCCCTGGGTAGAGTGCCATGGCATCACAGCTCACAGCAACCTCCAATTCTTGGGCTCAAGCGAGTCTCCTGCCTC